AATAACAGAGTCGGAAGAGACCTTGGAGGTCACCTAGTCTAACCCCCTGCTCAGGCAGGAAACCCTAGACCATTCCAGACAAATAGCTGTCCAGTCTCTTCTTAAAAACTTCCAGTGTTGGAGCATTCACCGCTTCTGGAGGCAGGTTGTTCCACTGGTTAATTGTTCTGTCAGGGAATTCCTTTTTAGTTCTAGGTTGCTTCTCTCTTTGGTTAGTTTCCATCCGTTGCTTCTTGTCCTTCCTTCAGGGACTTTGGAGGATAGCTTGACTCCCTCTTCTTTGGGGCAGCCCCTGAGATACTGGAAGACTCTATCCTGTCCCCCCTCGTCCTTCTCTTCATTAAACTAGAAAGACCCAATTCCAGCAATTCTTCCTTATATGTTTCAGCCTCCAGTCCCCTGATCATCTTTGTTGCTCTTCTCTGCACCCTTTCTAGAGACTCAATCTCTTTTTTACATCGTGGTGACCAAAACTGGATGCAGTATGTCTCCATTCCAACGTTCCAGCAGTGAGCCCCCCTCACAGACATGTGAACATATTTGGCCATTCAGCAACCAGATCTCATTTACAACTCTTTGCAGTGTAATGTGGTCACACAATCGTGTTTTATGTCATTTTTGCTGAAAACCATCATTTACTTCCAGTTTTCGGCAAATCCAGTCCATAGCGAACACTTGGGTTTGCTTTACAACTGTAAATGTAAATGCCCTCTCAAAAAAAAAAAAAAGCCATAAAAGCGGGTCAGTCACATGAAGACCTGCTTTTTGACCATCACAGCTGGTTCTATGATGGTCGTAAGTTGAGGACTACCTGTACGTAGCCAGCTAGCTGCATTGTGGAAACCCTTTGGAGCCCCGGTGGCACAATGGTTAGAATGCAGTATTGCAGACAAACTCTGCTTGGTGTTCGATCCTGACGGGGCTCAAGGTTGACTCAGCCTTCCATCCTCCCGAGGTCAATAAACTGAGGACCCAGATTATTGGGGGCAAATATGATGGTTTGTAAAGTGCCCAGAGGGGGCTGTAAAGCACTATGGAGTGGCAGATGACTTTCATGACCAGAAGTCTCTGTTTCCTGGATCTAGCCTGGTGTCTTAATCACTCGATCAGACTGGTTCTATAAAATATAAACAATACATATACAAGAATAAAAATAAAAAAAAATTAAAAGCATGGGCGACACTTGGAGAAATATAATGCTCTAGGGCCAGAGAACTGAGACCTTGGTACCATTCAGTAGCTGTTCAACACAAGGAGAAGCGGAATGCATAAAACAAGGAAATGAACACACTTGAATTCTGTAAATTGTATTACAGCTGCATGCAGTCTGAAGTTTGGTTTGTTGTTGTTATATAGGATTATTTCACACACACACATGAACGCAAAGTGGTTGAGCACACAGATTGCAAAATTCTATGGTTTGTTCAACCATGTTTTTTTTTAAATAAATCATGATTCATAACATCACATTGAAGCATAAAACAGAGCTTACAAGCCCCAATGGTAGGATTCACACACACTAAGGCCAAAGCAAGCAAGGGAGGTTATGATTAGTTAATATCAAGAAAAAATCCAGTCCTGGCATTCTTCTAATGAAGCTGTGTGGTTTCTGAGTATAATGCAACTAAAGGCACTTTTTGAAAAAAAGCAACACACATTTAATGAATCAGAAGGAATAAAATTGATGCAAAACTAATTACTGCGCTGTTTGCCTTTTATAGAATGGGAAAAAAATGGAAGTCAAAACTTTATTGTTATGGGAACAATGACAAATTCATAGCAAACAGCGCCATCTGGTGGTAGAGTACTTTTTAAAGTGGCCCACGCCTGAAAACATAAATATATATATTGGATTTTCAAGGCACTTAATTGAAGGGGGAAAAAATTAGTTAAGGAGTAAAAGCATTTTTTCCTACCGATGTGGCCAGATTCAGCATTACCTGCATTATATATTATTTAAAGCTATTTTTATCCTATTATGTTTAGAACTTTTTATTTAATTCTATTCAGTTAAAGAAGTTTCCTGAAAAGATTAGTTTTAGGCTAGATCCAAATAAATACTACTGTGCAATAAATGACTTTACACAAAAAGCGGCGTGCAACGGTGTTACATGTGCAATGGCATACACGTGAGACTGGCCTTCTGCGATTTAGTTAGTGTAGGGGTCTTCAAACTTGGGCCCTTTTAGGACTTGTGGACTTCAACTCCCAGAATTCCTCAGCCAGCATAGCTGGCTGAGGAATTCTGGGAGTTGAAGTCCACAAGTCCTAAAAGGGCCCAAGTTTGAAGACCCCTGGTTTAGATGCTACAGTTTATGCATTTGCAAATGAAGTTGACTTTGTTAATTAAAAAAAAAATACTATCCAATCCACCATTTCTTATACAATTGAAGTAAGCTGAATTCAAGTGAGCGGAGCTCTTAGATTAAATATATATTACGGAATGCTCTGTATTTCTAATTATATCTTTGCGATGAAAATATAATGTCATTTTCTGGGTTAGAGTTATCTGGGGAATTCTGGGAGTTGAAGTCCACAAGTGTTAAAGTTACCCAGGTTGAGAAAAACTGCTCACTACAGCAACACTGTGATTTCCCCCCCCCCCAAGTTTTTCTAATTTCATTACAACGTAAGTTTTCCTTTAGAAAATGTATCGCAAACGAGTTAATCAGAGAACAGCAAACCATGATCAATTAAATGTCAGCGTCGCAGCCTCCGCCACTGATGCGCCCTCCCCTAAGAATGTGTGCCACCCCCACGCATCTCCTTCGCTTCATTCTCCGTGACGGAATTGCTCCATGATCCCTTAGTCCAGGGGCAGGCAACCTTGGCTCTTTTATGACTGGTGGACTTCAACTCCCAGAATTCCTGAGCCAGCATGGGGAACTATGGCCCCTTCATGACTTCTGGACTTCAACTCCCAGAATTCCTGAGCCAGCATGGGGAACCATGGCCCCTTTATGGCTTGTGGACTTCAACTCCCAGAATTCCTGAGCCAGCATGGGGAACCATGGCCCCTTTATGGCTTGTGGACTTCAACTCCCAGAATTCCTGAGCCAGCATGGGGAACCATGGCCCCTTTATGGCTTGTGGACTTCAACTCCCAGAATTCCTGAGCCAGCATGGGGGAACTATGCCCCCCCCTCATGACTCGTGGACTCCAACTCCCAGAATTCCTGAGCCAGCCTGGCTCAGCTTGGAAACCTCTCCCTTTCCCCTCAGCACGGCTGGCTCAGGAATTCTGGGAGTTGAAGTCCACCAGTCATATAAAAGAGCCAAGGCTGCCTACCCCCGCCTTACTTCGGCGGGGTAATGACGTCACCTCGGGAGACTCGGAAGTGACGCACACGCCGCCCCCCAGAAGTCTCCGCTCTTCCTTTTCCCCGGCGGTAGCGGCCGTCTTCAGGTGAGCACGATGGCGCTGCGCTGGGCCTTCAGTTTCATCCGGGGTCGTGGGGCGCCATCCGCTCACGAGCCCCGCCGAAACGGGCCCGTACGGAGAGGGCAGGGCTCAAGATGGACGCCCGCGGCGGTATTTCCACGTTTTGGGAACGGGGAAGGGGGAAAAATGGACGAATGGAAACGGGATGGGGGGGATGGAAATATTATGAAAAAGAGCCCCGGATGTAAGGCGATGGAAGAAACCATTCCGTTTGGTGAAGGGGGGGGGATTTCTGTGGATCATTTATTTTCTCCTACGGAGGGGTAATTTTGCAGCAGCAGCAGAAAGGACGGTGCAGGCAGAGTTTCTGCTTGCATTGCCCCAAAAGCAGCGGACGTGGACGGTGGCATCCCCAGGGCGAAGGGACGGTGCAGCTCTCCAGTATTGCTCATTATGGATTTTGCTGTCTGGAGCGCCTGAAAATTGCAAATTAGGAACTGGGGAAATGCTGTAATTTTGTCATCCTTCTCCAATAGGAAAAAGGGCCAAAGTTGTATAAATGCAACCTGGAGGTTACAGGAGTCGTTGCTTTCATTGATTCTAGGAAATTGGGGATTTCTCCTGTGATGGTTTGTGGGGCTGAGGGGCAATAATAATAATAATAATAATAATAATGAAGTTGGAGGGGACCTTGGAGGTCATCTAGGTGCCATGGTCTTAATTGGAAAGAAGAAATTTCAAGGAGGAAAATAAATTTACTCTTTCATTGGAATTGGTACATTTTGCAGCACAAACCTCTCCAATATTGAACTGATTTCCTAAGTAGAAATAGGACTGGTTTGTGGCGGTACAGAACAGAGCAGAGGGAACGTATCGCCTGTTCACCACCCTGAGTCCCGTAAGGGAGATAGGGCGATATATAAATTCAATAAATAATAATAATAACATTTTGGGCTGTAATTTAAATCACACAGTACTTTAAATCTGAGTTAATGCAATAGAGATGTGGTCTTTGCATAACAGGCTGCAGAGGGTTAAACTATAGTGTAATAGATTGGGCCACAAAACACGCTAAGACAATGCTGGCTTCCCCAATCAGTAAATCACCCAATCATAGTTTTTTAGCTTAACCCTAATCCTTGGCTGATCTTAAAAGGTGAAATAGAAATGGACTTAATACTCAGATGGGAGGCTCCAAAGAAATATTAAGACTGTTGGATTTTTTTTATTAAGAACCAAAGAAAAAACTTGAAACTGGCAAAAAAACCTGTTTCAAGAAAATTATATGGATGGATCCATCAAATCGCCAGAATGCAAGCTCAGTTTTGCAGGTTTTTCCTAGTAGAATGTGCCAATTCAGCTGTGTTATGATTTTAATTATATTTTGTATTGGCTTGATATTTCAAATAAGATCTGGAAAATAATAACTATTTAGCACTTCAGTGCAACATTTTAATCCATCGCATTAAAAATTCTGATTCTAGGATAATCAGATTGAGATATAAACAAAACCGAATTTTTTCAGTTGTACAATTCTTTTATCAATCTTACAATTTTATATTGTGTGTGGGGAAAGGGATTGTGCAGGATAGGGTGTTCTTTGGGGTAAAGCCCGAGGCTGCGATGATGACTCTTAGGACACCTTTGGATGTAAATAATGAAAATACTATGAATTCTGAGCAGCTTTTTTTCTAGCAGCCTAAGATGGAATGCCTCATTTACTATTTCAAGTCTGAAACACATTTTTTTTCCTCCCAATTTTGCCTAGGTGAGCTTTGAAAATGGTCCGCTACTCCCTCGACCCAGAGAACCCCACAAAATGTAAGTAACTTTCTCAAGAGTTTTATTTCGTAGATTTTGGTCACAGGACAAAAAAAAGTTTTTAATTTTTCCTTGTTTTCTTGTAGCATGCAAGTCCAGGGGTTCCAACCTTCGGGTCCATTTCAAGGTATGCAAATTGGGTCTTGCCTCTGACAGTATGAGGGGTGGGCAGATGGTGTTTGCAGGTAGTCCTCAACTTACAACAATTCATTTAGTGACTGCTCAAAGTTACAGCAGCCCCGAAAAAATTGACGTACGGCCATTTTTCACACTTAAATCACCGTTGCAGCGTCCCCATGTTCAAAATTTGAACGCTTGGCAACCGGCTTGTATTTGTGACGGTTGCAGCCTCCCAGGATCATGTGATCATCTTTGCATCCTTCTAGCAAGCCTACTCAACGGGGAAGCAAGATTCACTGAAAACCATGGGACTAATTGAATATTGCAGTGATTCATTTACCGACTGTTGCAAGGAGGGTTGCAAAATGGGCCAATAACTGTCTTGTTTAGCAACAGAAACATTGGACCTGATGGTTGTAAGTTGAGGACTGCCTGTATTTTGATGGGACTTCATTGCATTAGGCCAGGGGTAGGCAACCTTGGCTCTTTTATGACTGGTGGACTTCAACTCCCAGAATTCCTGAGCCAGCCTGGCTCAGCTTGGACACCTCTCCCTGTCCCCTCAGCATGGCTGGCTCAGGAATTCTGGGAGTTGAAGCCCACCAGTCATAAAAGAGCCAAGGTTGCCTACCCCTGCATTAGGTTGTGTTCCATCTCCGGAGTAGCAACAGCACTTAGACTTACATACCGCTTCACACAGGGCTTTCCAGCCCTCGCTAAGGGCTTACAGAGTCAGCATATCCCACAATCTGGGTCCTCGTTTTACCGACCACAGAAGGCTGAGTCAACCTTGAGCCGGTGAGAATCGAACTGCTGGCAGCCGGCAGTCATCCGAATGAGCCTGCAGAACTGCACTCTAACCACTGTGCCATCACGGCTCTTAATAGTCAGTTTCTGATTCCATCGTCCTCTGCCAGAAGGCGCCGGGCTCCCTGTCCCTGGAGAACCCTCCCCTAACTAGCAGCCCTGGTTTTTGTTCCCCGGAGCCCTCCTGGGTGGGGAAGCCCCAGGAGACGATTTTCCCTTGTGGATGCTCGGCTTCTGCATCCGGGAGGGGGCAAGGCCACCCCAGCAGTGGCTCTTCCGGTCTTTCCCCTTCTTCCGTCGCTTTTGCTACTTGCACTTTCCTCCTATCTTGCACGGCTGTTGATTTGGAGGCAAAACAATTGGGGCAGCGCTTAAGGCGCCGGCCTAGAAACCAGGAGGTTGTGAGTTCTAGTTTCGCCTTAGGCACAAATGCCGACTGGGCGGCTTTGGCTCAGTCCTTCTTTTCAGTTCAGCCCATCTCCACAGGGTGGTTGTTACAGGGCAGAAGAACGTATGTTTGCTGCCTCTTGAGTTATTTGTAAAGTAATAAAAGAGAGATAAAATTCTTAATATTACACTCCCTTTATTGATTTGCCTATGGTTAGGCAGCCAGTTAATAATGATTCTTGGATTGCCTGTTTGAAGTTCTTGGAATCGACTAAAATGGAGAACGATTGTTTATTTGAGGAGCCCGGGGGGGGGGGGGAACATACGTTGCAACTGCAGTGACGATCAAAACGCCTTTGGATTTCTCATGAAAACAGTCCTTTGGGTCTGAGCAGTTGCTTAACAAAATAATGTTGCATTTATTCTACAACATTATTAGGTGGCTTTGTTATAATCCATGTGTTTTTTTGAAAAACAGCCATGCACCATAAACGATTTAAATAACATTGAAATGGACCGCAGTGGGCATCTACTCCATCCCTCTATGTAGCGCAGGATCCACTAGAATATCTCTGACAGATAATTCCCCAGAGAAACGAAGAGAAATGAAATGAAGAGAAGGACTAAGGGGGACAGGATAGCAGTCTTCCAGTATCTCAGGGGCTGCCCCAAAGAAGAGGGAGTCAAGCTCTTCTCCAAAGCGCCTGAAGGCAGGAGAAGAAGCAACGGATGGAAACTGATCAAGGAGAGAAGCAACCTGGAACTAAGGAGAAACTTCCTGACAGTCAGAACAATTGACCAGTGGAACTACCTGCCTCCAGAAGCTGTGAATGCTCCAACACTGGAAGTCTTTAAGAAGAGACTGGACAGCCATTTGTCTGAAATGGTGTAGGGTCTCCTGCCAGAACAGGGGGTTGGACTAGATGACCTCCAAGGTCCCTTCCAACTTTATTATTATTATTATTACTACTGCTACTACTACTAGCTGTACCCAGCCACGTGTTGCTGTGGCTCAGTCTGGTTAAATTTACGTCCAACAGATGGTGTGAGATCTATATAATAGTAGGCATATAAAAACACGCGCGTATTCGAATGCAACGTTGTGTCAAAATTTCAAAGCAATCAGTGAAGAACTTTCGGAGATTTAAGATTTTGAACAAACGAACATTTACATTTTTATTTATATAGATTATTATTATTCTTTTTGAAGAGCTAAAGCAAAGGCGAGCTCACTGTCTCATGAGGCAGCCTGTTCCACTGGCCGAGAGCTGGCAGTCAGAAAGTCCCTCCTGAACCCCCTTCCTTGCTTTCAGTTCAGGGCTTCTGGCCCTGCCCTCTGAAGCAGTCATGAGTAGGTCTGCTCCCTTTTTAGTTTTACTAAAATAAAGATGGCCGCCCAACTCACAGGGAGGTGACTCTGGGCAGCTTACAAAAGGGCCGCCCAAGCGGCAGACGAGCCTCTCCCGCAGCTCCAGTGGCACAGGCACACTCGCGCACAAGGCTCCCTTCGCCTCAACGGCAGGCCGGGCCGCCCGCCACTCGCACAAATGGCGCTGCCTGTGCTTGCACGCGCCCCTGCTGTTCGCACAAGTTCGTCCCCCTCCCCTGACGG